GAGGGAAAGTGACCCTTTGTTCTTTCAGTTACTCTGTTGAAAACTTGTAGCAAAGTTGCTATAATTTGCCAAGCCGTGTGTAGGGGTAGGAGGGCCTTTACAGAAATGACAGGGAGTCCACCACCGGGTAAAAGAGGTGTGGTGCATGTGCTATATAATCCAAGAGTTCCAGCCAGCCTGTTGGGAAGACGACCCAAGGCATTCAGCAGAATGAGTAAGCAAAACACAGGGAAAGTACTAGATGGAAGAAATCCCTTTTGAGCAACCAGGGAAGTCTTATGAGAGGTCCTGGCAGGCATGAGGTTTGTAATAGCAATATTGACCCCTGTTTTTTTTAGCGCTTCCTGGGGCCTGGCAGTGGGCTGATTATATCACATATACTTACTAATCCTTAGCACATTCGCAGGAGGTTTGATACTTTTATTATAAATCTCAGTTAAGGGCGCCTGAGTGGCTCAGTCGTTAAGCTTCTGCCTTCTGCTCAGGTCATGATCCCGGGGTCCTGGGATCGAGCCCCGCATCGGGCTCCCTGCTCGGCGGGAAGCCTGCTCTCCCTCTCCCACTCCCCCTGCTTGTGTTCCTGCTCTCGCTAACTCTGTTTCTGTCAAACAGATAAATAAAGTCTTTAATAAGTAAACAAACAAATCTCAGTTAATAGATTATGAGACTGAGAAGCTTGCCCAAGGTTACAGAGCTCGGGAGTGGTAGAACTGGGATTCTCTCTTCCTCCAGAGTAACCCTTACCCGCTAAGCCCCCTGTAGAGAAGGAGAAGGAGATGGGGCTGGGAAAGAACATTGGAGACACACCAGAGACAGCCTCAAAAATTCTGCAAAGGAATTTGAACTTTATTCTGTATACATTTGGAAACAACACATGGCTTTTGAGCCCAAGAGTGGTGCAATCACAGTAGCACATTAGAAAGGTTAGTCAGGAGGCCCGGGGCAGAGTGCTGTGCCTGGGGGCTGGGAGCCTGGCCAGGGCGCTGTCGCCACTGTCCAGATAAAAGGTGCCAAGGACCTGCGTGGTGGCAGTAGGGACACAGCAGATGGGGAGACATTTCAGTAGAGGTGACAGCAGAAGGGCCCGACTGGCTGTGGACAGTGTCTGGGGATGCCACTGACCAAAGGGACAACTGCCAGGAATATGGTGGAGATGCTTAGTAAGTACATGGAGCCAGGGAACTGAGCTGTCAGGGTTGGTGAGGAATTGACCACGGAATCCATAAGCGTAGATGAGGTCAAGGTCAAAGTGCAGAGAAGGAGGCCCAGGGTGGATCATGCTCTCCCTGACCGCTCACGTGGATTTTCTCACTCCTGTGCCCAGTCCAGGCTTTTTGGTGGACCAAGGCAGCGGCCACCAAGAACACGGTGCCCCAGCATCAGGCAGATGCGGCTGTCGCCCCTTCCCCTTTGCCCTTCATCCCCACGGCATTGACACCGTCCCCATCTCATCTCCCAGGGACACACTCAGGACACCAACACCTACTTTCTGTGCCGGACACTGCGCTCCCTGGGGGTCCAGGTGTGCCGAGTCTCTGTTGTCCCCGATGAGGTTGCCACCATTGCGGCTGAAGTCACTTCTTTCTCCAGCCGCTTCACGCACGTCCTCACAGCAGGGGGCATCGGCCCCACTCACGACGATGTGACCTTCGAGGCCGTAGCACAGGCGTTTGGGGACGAACTCAAGCCACACCCTGAGCTGGAAGCCGCCGTCAAAGCCCTAGGAGGGAAGGGCTGGGAGAAGCTGTCTCTCGTGCCCTCCTCCGCCCGCCTCCATTACGGCACCGATCCTCGCACCGGCCAGCCCTTCAAACTGCCACTGGTCTCCGTCCGAAATGTCTACCTCTTCCCGGGCATTCCAGAGCTGCTGCGGAGGGTGCTGGAGGGGCTGAAGGGGCTGTTCCAAAACACAGCCGTGCAGTTCCACCTGCGGGAGCTCTATGTGGCCGCCGATGAGGCCTCTATCGCCCCCATCCTGGCCGAGGCCCAGGCCCACTTTGGGCGCAGGCTTGGCCTGGGTTCCTATCCTGACTGGGGCAGCAACTACTATCAGGTGAAGCTGACGCTGGACTCAGAGGACGAAGGGCCCCTGGAGGAAGGCCTGGCCTACCTGACCGCCCGTCTGCCCCCGGGGTCGCTGGTCCCCTACGTGCCCGACGCCGTGCAGCAGGCCGGTGAGGCCGTGTACAAACTCGCGGGATCAGGTAGGGGCCTCCACGGGGAGGGGCTGCGGGCAGCAGGCCGGGTGGCTCCCTAGGCCTCAGGAACGCAGGGGCTGTTGGCGGCTGCCTGGAAATCCAGGAGCCGGTGGAAGACGGCTGCAGGAAACGTGGGCCGCGTGCGTGCCGTCCACAGCACTGTGCTGGGGGGGGCGTAGCTCGACAGGACAGTCGTACACCGTGCCCTTCTGGGCCGGTCGCGTGACCAGAAAGGCCCCCGGGCACGAGATGTCGGTGACGAGGGGCCTCCACAGCGGGGAGGTCAGCCCGGGAGCTGGGCGAGAGCAAACAGTGTGATCCGGGGAACAGAAGGAAACCAGGGCCCCCAGAGAGAAGACACTGAGGTGGGGCTGAACGGCCGGCAGGGGCACACTCTGAGCGCATGGGGGAGTCCAGACAGTACCGACCCACACTGGGAAGCCATGGAGATGTTAAGCAAGGGCGGCGTGGCCCCCACTGCCCTCCGACGGCCACGTGCCTCTCTCTGTTGGCTTCTTGTCCGTCCGCTCGCAGGGTCCTCTCTGGGGGAGAAGGTGGCGGGCGCCCTGCAGACCATTGAGACTGCCCTGGCCCGGTACGACCTCGCCCGCCTCTGCGTGGGCTTCAATGGAGGCAAGGACTGCACAGCGCTCCTGCACCTCCTGCACGCGGCCGTGCAGAGGTGAGCCGACCCCTGGGGGCGAGACCTCAGAGGTGCCTGTCTGCCCTGCTGTCCAGCTCCCCCCGCTGGGAAGCGGGGAGGGAAGGGGTGGCCGAGTGGGGGCTGGGAGGGAGGTGGCCGTGGTGACTTCCAGCTCTGTTATTGAGCGTCTGACTTGGGTGTGGCCCTGGGTCTGGACGGGAAGGCCACTCTCCCTGACTGGGCCACAGGGAGGTCACAGTCCTGTTGGGAGGTGACATTTGCATACCTGAAATGGGGCTGTATGCTCCAGATCTGAGAAGTGAGAGATCAGAAGGGCTTCCCAGAGGAAGTGGGTTCTCGTGGATGGGAGGGACAAGGAGAGCGGAGAATGGGAGGTTGTCCATCCGGGGGCCAAAGAGAACAGTGCGAGCCCTCTGAGAGTATTTCCCTGCCCACCCGGCAAGCCTGTGCATTCTCCCCGCCCCAGGAAATGCCCTGATGCTCAGGAACCCCTCCAGATCCTGTATATCCGCAGCATCTCCCCTTTTCCCGAGCTGGAACAGTTTCTACAGGACACCATCAAGAGGTACTATGGGCCTGGAGGCTGGGGCTCCCGGGGGAGCTCAGCAGTGCCCACTTCTGACCGCAGCACTCTTCCTTCCTCAGGTACAATCTGCAGGTCCTGGAGGCTGAGGGTGATATGAAGCAGGCCCTGAGCGAGCTGCAGACGCGGCACCCCCAGCTGGAGGCTGTCCTGATGGGCACCCGCCGCACAGACCCCTACTCCTGCAGCCTCTGCCCCTTCAGCCCCACTGACCCCAGCTGGCCTTCCTTCATGCGCATCAACCCGCTGCTGGTAACGGGGTAGAGGCTGTGGGGCCTCCAGTCTCCCGATCCCTGTCCGCTGTGCGCCCTGGCTTCCCCACGTGGGAGAGGTTGGAGCCTGGGGCTCAGATGAAGAACCCCATCATCCGAGGGAGGCTGTGCCGTTGGGTCATTCAGCCTTCTGAGCGCTATTTATTGAACACCAAGGGCAAGCTTGTGCTTTCTCCCGCTAGGCCTGTGCTGCCCAGTACGGTGGCCGGTAGCCCCCTAATTATACTCAAAGTGCAGCTTACTAGAATGAAATAAGGAATTACTGAAAACCAGCTAATGGTAGGCTTTAAAAGGATGAATTCTGTGGCATGTGAAAATTCAACATTCAGTTCTTGACTTGCACCAGGCATGTTTCAGGTGTCCCCATGTCAGGCGCCCCTAGGGCCCATTTTCATGGTCTGCTGCCACAGACCCACGCCATGGGGGGGGGGGGGGCAGGATGCAGGCTTTCTCTTTCACGTTGCGTGGCCTGCAGAGAGCGAGCTGCCCCAGAGAATCAGATAGGAGCCCTCCTCGGGGGCCAAGAAGCAGAAGAGCCCAAGTGGGCCCCTTCCCAGGTGGCAAGGGGTGAGTGAGGAAGAGGGGGACTTTGTGACTCTGCTCTGACCTCCCAGGACTGGACCTACAGAGACATCTGGGACTTCCTGCGTCAGCTGTTTGTCCCGTACTGTATCCTGTATGACCGAGGGTAAGGGTGTTGGGAGACGGTGTGGGGAAGACCTGGAGGTGCAGGGGGCCCGAGAGCCACGCCCCACACTTGCCTCCCTTCTCCTGGCTCCAGCTACACCTCGCTGGGGGGCCGGGAGAACACGGTGCGGAACCCCGCCCTGAAGTACCTGAGCCCAGGAGGACAGCCCACCTACCATCCAGCCTACCTACTGGAGAATGAAGACGAGGAGCGCAACTCCCGGACATGACCTCGCAGTCCTGCCCGCTGCCCGAGGGGGGAAGGAGGCGGTCCTGGGGAGTCGCCTGTCAATAAAGTGTGCCTCTCGAGTGCGCTGCCCTGGCTGTGTCTTCCTGCTCGGGGGGATGGGGGAAGCGGACGGGGGCTGGGGGCTCAGCGCTGGCAGAGCTCCCCCTGAGGGGCCAGGGCGGCGGGCGTGCCGAACAGACTGGACAGGAGTTCACACCGACGGTTCTGAAGGCCAGCCTCACGGGGCGGGGCCCCCCACCACGGGGCAGGGGCTGGGGCTCGGGGCAAGACAGACCAGGCCCCGGGGTCTTGAGACCCAGGCCGGAAGCTGAGCGGGCCTGGCTGCAGAGCTTGGAGGACGGAGTGAGCAGGCCCTCCCCCTCCTAACCCCAGCCTCCATCCCTGTCCATAGAGGCTGACTCAGCCCGTTCTTGGGCCCAGAACCTTCCCCGTGCTGGCCCTGGGGGGCCTTTGTTCCCAGAGTCATGAGGTCTGAGGGGGTGGGGACGCTGTTGATCCCAGGCACTGGAGGCGGCTCCCGCAGTCCACATGCAGCGCCGGACGCGGTCGCGGCCCCTAGCCCAGTCCCTGCCCTTCTCCTTCCGAAGGGCCCTGCGAGCCCCTGGGCCCTGGGTGCCTGTCATGAAGATGGGCACAGGATGGGAGGGCCTGCAGCAGACTCTGAAGGAAGTGGCCTACATCGTGCTGTGCTGCTGGTGCATCAAGGAGCTGCTGGATTAATGGCCGGGAGGGGCAGCGCGCCCGCCCGGCTCGGCTCAGGTGGGCTGGCGGGGGGCGGGGGCGGGGGGCGACGGGAAGCGTGGCCGCGCCTGGGGCTAGAGCCCGCCTCTCAGCCTCCCATTCTCTGCTCTAGCGCCCAGCCCAGCCCCCAGCAAGACTCCTGGGGCCCGCGATGCTCCACCAAGGATGGGCCACAGACGCCGTGGGAAGTGCGGCTCCTGCTGCCGGTGTGTGCCATCCGCCAGGCCTGCCTCTCCGGGCGTCCGTTCCCCGCCCCCACCCCTGGGGCCCCCCCGCGGGCCCCGGAAACTGCAGGAGCTAACATTCCTCCAAGCCTGGCACAGTGAGCGCACCAGCCCAGATGGTCGATTTCTCCATACTCTGGTAGTGCCGGGAACGGGCTGCGCCCTAACATCTCTGCTTGAGAATCACTGAATAGATACACGTGTATACATACGTATATGCAGATACAAAATAAATAGACCTCGAGGCCTGAAGTTCTAAATGTCTGAAAGGAAATCGGAAAAACTCGGTCCTGGAAGGGTCTGGGAGCCAGGGTACAGACCGGGGAGGGAAGGAGGTTGTCCTGGACAGAACAGACGGAAACCCAGGTCTTCTGACTCACTGGGGCCTGGGCGGGGAGGGTGGAGGGTGGAAAGGCCAGGTTCCTCCCAGCTGGCGGATAGGGAGGGGTCCAGCTGGGGTGGGGTCTTCTTCTGGGAGGCCCTGTGCCTTAGGCCGGGAACCCAAATGGAAGAGCTGGTCTGGCCAGCTCCCCGCCTCTGAGGATCTTGGGCAGAGCACTGGGCCGATGCTAGTCCGCAGCTCCAAGACGACGTTGGGCCCTGCGCCTCCAGCTCACACAGGAGGCGGCAAGAGCAAGGCCTCCGGCTTACCACAGGGCAGGGGTGCCAACAGCCAGGAGCCGAGCCCACTCTGCTTCCCCTTGGTGGCCACGGACACCTGCTTTCCCTGACGCCCACCCCTCCACCCAAGGGTAGGTAAATGCGCCACGTACAGCACCTTGCTCACGCTGAGTGGCACGCCCACTCACAGCCCCCACAACCTCAGAGCCAGCATGCCCTGGCCCCGCCCTCCTCTCCTGGGACTCGCTCCTCGCTCCCAGGGACCAGCTTTTCCCCCACCTTTTTCTGAGTTAAGTCCTTTTCCTGTGGGCATGTTGTGTCTCTCTTTGTAAAGGTAACAAAGACCTAGAGTAGGGATTTGTGCTTGTGAGAAGTGACTCCCCCCGCCCCCATCCGCCCCCAGTTGTCTTGTGGGCAGTTCATCAGCTTCGCCAGTTCCTGGAAGAGCATTTCAGAGATAGTCTGTGCACATTCTGCATCTTCAAGTGTCCATTCATTCAGCAAATGTCATTGAGCACCCGCTATACGCGGGCCCCAGTGCTTGAATACAGCCGGGATCACAAAAGGCCCCTGTCTCGTGGGCAGACACAGGAAATAAAACATAAGCAAAAAAATACGTGTGGAGATGTTATTAGGTGATAGGTGCTATGGAAAAGAGAAAAGGTTGAGGTGGGGTGGGTGTGGGGCAGGTCCTGGAGGGCCTCACAAGCCGAGCTTCCTGTGGGCTGAAATGAGAAGGCTAACGCCCAGTGTTCCCTCTGGCTGCTGTGTGGAGAACAGACTTTGGGGAGCAAGGCTGGAACAGGGGAGCCCGACCCAGAGGCCAGAGGCACAGTCTGGGCACGACACCGGCTCAGAGTAGTGCAGAGAAGTGGCTGACCCAGGGCGCCTGGGAGGCTCAGCTGTGGGGCATCTGCCCTCAGCTCAGGGCGTGGTCCCAGGGTCCTGGGATCAAGCCCCACGTTGGGCCCCCTGCTCTGCTGGGAGTTGCTTCTCCCTCTCCCACTCCCCCTGCTTGTGTTCCTTCTCTCGCTGTGTCTCTCTCTGTCAAATAAATAAATAAAATCTTAAAAAAAAAAAAAAGTGGCTGCCCTGAATGCATGTGCATTCTTTCTCTTTTTTTTAAGATTTTCTTAATTTTTTTTTTTTAAGAGTTTATGTATTTGACACAGAGAGACACAGCAAGAGAGGGAACACAGCAGCAGGAGCAGGAGAGGGAGAAGCAGGCTCCTGGCTGAGCAGGAAGCCCGATGCAGGGCTCAATCCCAGGACCCTGGGACCATGACGTGAGCCGAAGGCAGATGCTTAACAACTGAGCCACCCAGGTGCCCCCTTAATTTCTTTTTTAAAGATTTTATTTATTTATTTGTCAGAGAGAGAGCACAAGCAGGGGGGAGCAGCAGACTCCCCGCGGAGCAGGGAGCCCAATCAGAGGCTCGATCCCAGGACCCTGGGATCATGACATAAGCCCAAGGCAGATACCTAACCGACTGAGCCCCCAGGCATCCCAAGATTTTCTTTATTTTTAAGTAATCTCTACACCCAACGTGGGGCGCAAACTCACAACCCCAAGATCAAGAATCACAAGCTCTGGGCACCTGGGTGGCTCAGTCAGTTAAGCATCCAACTCAATCTCTGCTCAGGTCTTCATCTCAGAGTCCAGAGTTCAAACCCTGCATTGGGCTGCATGCTGGGCATGGAGCCTACTTAAAAAAAAAGTCACACGCTCTACAGACTGAGCCAGCCAGGTGCCCCGAGCCCATATGTATTCTTTGAGTTGACAACATGCTCTCCACATGGCTCCCCATCTTGCTTTTCTCCCTCAGCACGCCCTATACAGGATTCCGTATTAGTACACGTGGGGCCTGTCCCCTCTTTCTTTTTTTTTTTTTTTTAAGATTTTATTTATTTATTTGACAGAGAGAGTGAGAGAGCACAAGCAGGGGGAGCAGGAGGAGAGGGAGAAGCAGGCTCCCCACCGAGCAGGGAGCCCGATGTGGGGCTCGATCCCAGGACCCTGGGATCATGACCTGAGCCGAAGGCAGACGCTTAACCATCTGAGCCACCCAGGCGCCCATGTCCCCTCTTTCTTGCAGTACTGCAGCTCAAGATTTTTTTTTTTTTTAAAGATTTTATTTATTTATTTGACAGAGAGAGACAGCAAGAGCAGGAACACAAGCAGGGGGAGTGGGAGAGGGAGAAGCAGACTTCCCGCCGAGCAGGGAGCTCGATCCCAGGACCCCGGGATCACGACCTGAGCCAAAGGCAGACGCTTGATGACTGAGCCACCCAGGCGCCCCCCAAGATTATTTTTTTAAGATTTATTTATTTGAGAGAAAGTGCAAGCAGGAGCGGGGCGGGGGAGGGTGCAGAGGGAGAGAATCCCAAGCCGACTCCGGGCTTAATCTCACACCCCTGAGATCACCACCTGAGCCAAAACCAAGAGTCCGACACTTAACCAACTGCACCACCCAGGCGCGCCTCAAGATTATTTTTTACCCCAGCAGCATGGCAACCCTCCTTAGGCGCCCACATAATCAGGTCACTGCTCTTGCCTGGACCCTTCAGAGCCCCACCTCACCCCAGGGCACAGTGGTGAGAAGGGGGAAGATCCTGAATCCATCTGGAGAGAGGTTAGCAGTGGATGTGGACATGGAAGTCACCTTCCCGCATGAGTGTGGGGCTCCCGCCTCCCCCCCAAAACCTGCACCTGCTTGGTCAGCCCCACCCTGCCTCAAGCTCTGGCCTTCAACCTCCTTTTCCTTTCTTGAGCCCCACTCCCACCCAGCTGGGATGGTGCCTGGAGGTGGATCCTGGAGTCAGAGTTCTGAGCATGAGGGCCTTTGCCAGGGGAGGGGGTGTCTGGCAAAGACCCCCAGGGAAGTGGTGGATGGAGGAAGGCAGGGCCCAGGAAGTGGAAAGAGGGAACAGAGAAGCGACCTGCGGTGGCCAGAGGACGGTGTCAGCTGTCCAGAGAGCCTTGAAGGTGGAGAGGCTGAGGAGAGAGATGGGGAGAACCAGGAAAAGCTTGCGCACCCTCTGAGAGCCCTTCTCACACTACAAAGTGCTTGGAGATTGACACGAGTCCACCTCAGAAATAGGCAGGGCAAGAGCAATCCTCTCACGCAAAGTTGAAGGAAATGGGCCCAGAGAGGTGAGAATTGTCCCATGCGAGGTCATGCCCACGGCACACTGCAGTGGGGTAGTCAGCTGGTGAACCCAGATTTTCCCATCTCAGATTCAGGGCTTCTCTGGACCAGCCAGCCCTCCTCTTCTGAAATGGTGCCTGGGAGAGGGGCCAGGCAGGCTGAGCTGTGGAGAGGGCGACTGCCCCAAAGCTGCACCCACCTCTACCATTCCCACACCCACCTCAACTCAGCGGCTCTTATTCCGGCTTTCCCCAGCTCCTTTGGGGGGCCCAGCTATGTCTTTTTCACCTAAACCACCACTGGTCAGGAGATGGTTCCCTGGTCTACACGTACTCCCCACTCCTCTCCAAGGGAAGAAGAGATGCGGCAGCTTCCCAGCAAGGTTCTCTTGCCCGGGAGAGTAAGCTCAGGTTTGGAGTGTTCAAGCTACTTGCATATGGTAGCAGAAGAGGGGAGCAGAGGGCCAAGATCGGGAGGGATGGGGAAGACCTTATTTACCCCTGGGCGCCCAGGGGCCCTCCAGTGGCCACAAGGGGTAGGGGAATGGGCGGAGTAAAACGGGGAAGGAGCCTCCGCGAAGCTGGAAGGGACCCCCAAACGCGACAGCACTGGGAGGAGCGGCCTGAGACCCAGGATTCCTCGCTGATTACATGGCTATAAGACCCTCAATGGTGTGCGAAAGGCAGGGGGAGGACAGGGGTCCTGGCGAAGTGGTCTGGGAGCCTCGCGCCCGAAACTGGATATTTTAGTAATGATCTCAGTGGGTCCTGTGTTTTCCCAGCAACACTCAGAAGCGGGCGGGAAGAGGGCTGTGGCTGTGGTTCCGACCGCGCCGGAGGGCAGACCCCCAAGGCCACAAGCTCTGCCCTGCGTTCCCATTTGCATCTCGTTTGCAGAGCATTTACCTTCGAAAGGTAGAAGTCCCCAACCCCTTTCTCGGTTACTCCCAGCTGAGACTTTCTACTCCTGTCTCTGCCAGCCTCGGAGACGGGCCCATTCTTCCGGGCACTCTCGGGCCCCTCTGGCCGCCGCCCCCCCCCCCCCCGGGCCTCGCGTCCTTCAGCTGCCCGGGCTTCGCAGCAGCCCCCCGAACCCCGGGCACCGTCCGAGGAGCCGAGACACGTGCGCCGCCTGCTGGCGGGCGGGCGGGAGGGAGGCTGAGGGCACAGGGGTCCTGTTTCGCCTTCTCGGGGACGTGGAGTTTTGGAAAATGTTCCCCGAGCTTCCTGAGGCTAAATTTATCTTCCCCGGCCCTGGGGGGCGCAGAGATCCCGGAGACGATTAGCGCTGAGGCGCAGCGGGCTCCCGCCCAGAGGCCCGGAATAGGCGCCGAGTTATAAATAGTGCGCCCGCAGGTGTGGGGGGAGCCGGCGGGAGGGGCAACCCTGGCAGCCACGGCCCCTTCAGGTGGGTTGGGCGGTCGCGGTGGGGGAGCCGGGGGGCGGCGGGCGCGGGGGGGCTGCGGTCTGAGCGCCCCCAGCGGTTTCCTGGGCGGCGGGTTTTTCGAGGGAAGCGGAGGCAGCCCGGGTAAGGGGGGAGCGGGGAAGAGGTGGGCGCCCACGGCGGCAGACGCTCCGCTTCCAGCTCTGCAACCCCCCAACCTTCCAAAACAGGCCCCCAGACCCACTCACTCAGGACCCCGCCCAGAGAGAGCCTTGCCTTTCTTCCGCCAGAAGCCCTCTCCCTCCACGCTCTGCGGGCGTCTAAGTCTTCTGCAGCTGCCCCTGAGCGCACGTGGCCCAGCCAGTCCCGGCGCGGGGCTGTCACTCCGAGTCGCCGTCCCCAGCCCCAGGTACACGGTCCTCCCTAGGAGGGGTTGACTCCCAGCGCGGGCTTTCATCCTTCTCCTTGGTCAGACACACCTCGCTCTCAGGGTATTTACCCACCTCCTGCTACTTTCCCCTCAAAAGTAAGGTCTAGCCGGTGGCCTGAGATATATGGCTGAACGGGCGGATCTGGGATGCCCCGCTCCTCCCAGGAGGCCCCTGCAGGCCCCACACCTGCCCTCCAGCCCCCAGTGCCAGTCCGGGCCAGGTGGCTGCGAGCCCCCGGGGCCCAGCCCCCAGTCAGCGTTTCCTGGCTGCCGCAGTCTCAGTGGTTTGGCCCGGTAAGGGCCAGGAGTTGGAGGGGAGGCGGGAATTTCAAGTCGGGGTTCCCCCTCTGACTTCTGAGCCAGGAAGGAAGCTGTATGGACCAGAAGAAGAGAAACGTGGGTGGTGGTGGTCGGGAGTCACTGAGGAACAAACTGGAGGTTCCAGAACTGTCCAAACGGTGGGGAATGGCATTTCCGTTGCCTACAGATTCAGACTGGGTCTAGCAAGTCCGGAGGCGACCCTCGGAGAGGGGGGCCGGAGCGGGCCCAAGGCACTGGGCGCCTTTCATTTCTCTGTACCTAGGGGCTGGTGCCCAGGCGCCCGCCCTCGGACTGCTTCTGGAGGCCCAGGCTCTGCCCTCCCTGAGCCACTTTCCCGCCCTCCTTTTCCTGGGCCATGCCCCCTCCTCCACGAAGCAGCCCCCTCTCCGTTTCACGTGTGCATCTGGCACTGCCGTCTAGCCCCTGGCACGACTCTTCCCCAGGCTAGCGCGACCCCGACGGCTGTAGAAGGAAGGGGAAAACCCTGGCCTGGACCCCACCGGCTCCGGGCCCTCACCGACCAGACTCTGTCCGGCGGGGCCGAGAAGAAAACCCGGAGCAGTGACCGGCCTCGGGGCCCAAGGGGGACAGGGACGATAGGAAAACCCGGAGCGGATTCAGCGAGCGGGAGCGCCCCAGGCCTGCTGCCACCCCCTCCTTCCTACAGCCCCCCTAATTCTCCAGTGAGATAATGTCTGAGGTGGGGGTCTGTTTGGCTTGGCCTGGGCCCTCAGGGGCGCCTCACACTTTCCGCCCCTGGCTGGGGCGCAGGGCAGCGGCCCCGAGGCTGAGTCACGGCCGGAGAGGGAGGGAGGGAGGGACCGGGACTCCGCCCCTCCCCCTGCGCGGGGATCCCGGGTCAGCCCGGGTGAGGGCCAGGGCCCCCCTGGCGCCGCCCATTGTGGTCCAACAGGTTGAGCTGGTGTCCCGCGGAGCCACCTGCTGGAAAGGGAGGGAGGCCCCCTGCGGAGGGGGCTGAGGAGGAGAAAGCGAGTCGGACCCGGTTCGGCCCGGCCGGCCGCGGGGAACGGAACCTGGCCCGCGGTAGCCGGATTTTATTCCGTTTTACACTAGTGGGAGGGGCTCTCCGGGGTACGTAGCGCTGCAGGCCCGGTTGGAGGCGTCCCCCACAGGCTACCTTCCTCACTTGTGGGGGCACTGAAGTACGTATCCTGCCTCACCCCAAACCCACACACACATCTGGAAACACCCAGGCTCCCCTGGCCACCTGGGTCTCCGGACAGATCCCTGTCCAGAGGTTCCCACCTTCGCAGAGACTCAGTTTCTCCACTTAGGGAACAGGCGGGATGGAGGCGGGGAGCAGGAGCGAGAGCGCACCTCCCCCTCCCCCTTCGCGGACCCGGCCCCTCCCCTCCGACAATGCCAAGGCCGCAGCGGGCACCGGCTGGAGCGCAGAGGCTGCTTGCCCAGGGCGCCGTTCCCTCCCCGCGGGGCGCCGTCTCGCGTGGGGAGGTACGCAGGGTGCCCGCAGCCTCCACTCCCCCGCTCCCTCAGAGTCGGAGTGGGGCGTAGGAGCTGGAGCTGATGGCCTGGTGGCTCCCCCTCCCCCTACCTCCCGGGGCACTGACCTGATTATAGCCCCTCACGGGACCCCCCCCTTCAATCCCTTAAGTCCCCGCCTCACCCCCACCTAACCTATCTTTAACCTCTCATACCCTTCCCCTCCCGAGGGGGTGACCGTACAAAAGCCCCTCATGGAGACTGAGAGCCCTTGATGGGGGCGCCGGGTTCCCGGGCCACTGCGGACACTGCCCCCTCCCCCTTTCCCTCCTCCAGGTTTCAGGCCAGCCCCTCGGCTCCGCCCCCTCCCTGACGGAACGCGGGGCAGGACCCACTTGAGATGGGCGGGTGCGCAGGCCAATGGGCGGGCAGGGCGGTGGAGTGCAGGGGGCGGGGCGGAGCCGCAGCGAAGGGCTGGATGGGGTCGGGGGCGGAGCTCGAGTTAAGGTGGACTGGGAGAGATAGGGGCTAGAGGAGAAAGAGGGAGAGGGAGGGGGAGAGGGACCGCGGCAGGTGGAGGGAGAAGGAGACCGAAGGAAAGAAGGAGGGAAAAAGAGGAGGGTGGGAAAGGCTCGGAGAGAGCAAAGTAAAAGCTTGGAGGAAGGGAGTGAAAAGGGAGGGAGGGACTCATCTGCGCCCTGCAGGGACTGGCTGGACCGAGGGGTTGAAGTTTATATCCTTATTGGGCGGAGGGAGGGGGACCTGGGGGGGCGGGTGAAAAACCAGGAAGTGACAGAGGGTGTTGCTAAGGGTTGGGGGGGGAGTTTGGGGGGTGGCAGGGGGCGGGGGGAGGGAGGGGAGGGATGGGGGGAAAGCCAGCGGGAGGACAGGTGAGACAGCAGGACAGGTGAGGCGGGCCCTGAGGGGGGGGCGGGTGGGAGCCAGGTGAATGTACGGTTCTCGGCGGCCGAGGGGGGGGCGGGCGGCAGGAGGAGGCCGAGGGCTGCGGAGGAGGAGCCCCCCAGCAGAGAGCGGCGAGCGACTGACCGCGGCCTTCTGACCAGGACCGGAGCAGGGCCCCAAGCCCCCGGGCCCGGCGGGGGACGCGCTTCTCTGCACACCCTGTGCTTCAGCAGTTCCGGCCAGCGGACCCAAAGGCGGAGAGGTGAGTGTACCCTACTTTTGTCTCCGGCTCGGGGTCCCCCAGACGCGAGACTACTGCAGTGTCCTTCGTCTGTCCTGTAAGTGGGACCCCCCCCACGCACACACACACGCATGCAGACCAGACTCCCACCACTCCCCTTCCCTGTGCCTTCCCGGCACCCCGGCTCTTTGGAATTGATTTTAACTGCGAGGAAAGGTGGGCGGAGGGTCCCCAGAAACTTTCTCTGCACTTCTGGGATCAGACAGACCGGCGGCTCCGGGATGGAGAGAGGGTGAGGCGGCGCCGAGCGCTCCCCCAGTCTCCTCCGTGACTTGCGGGGAGACCCCCGACCCGCCCGAGCTGAGGGAATGGAAACGCTGACGGACTCTAACTAGGACAAGGCGGCTCCCCCCCCGCGCCCCCTGGCGCGGTGGGCTGGACCCGGGCCAGTGGCACTGGGGGCGGGGGCGGTGCGCAGGAGGAGCCGCGGCTGGGGGGAAAGTTACCGGCTGGACTATTCGGTTTCCTGCGCCTCCGGAGCCGCGCTCCCTCTCCAGTAGTGGGGCTCGGCGACAACCCCCGAGCGACGCAGATCGACCCCTCAGCCCCAGTCCCTTCCTTCAGGCGCCCGTCCCGCCGCCACCCTTCCCAGGCCGGCTCGTGCCCCCAGAACCCGAGAGCGAGGGCGGGTGACCAGGCGGAGTTCTACCCCCACCCGTCCCCCCGCCGGCGCCCGCGCACCTGCCCCTCCACAGAGTGGGGGTCGCCACTGTGTAGTCGTGGAAGCTACTGGGAGCGCCGCTGGCAGAGGGCTGCCATTCAAAAGGGTGGGGGGCGCTGCTCTCCATGCCCAGCTTTCGCTCTCTCCTCCCACCCCACCCCAAGTAAGAGAGCGACGTGTCCCGGCCAGAGCGGGGGGGGGGGGACGGGAGTGGGGGGGGCGGCGTGGGCAGCGGGTTGTGCCCGGACACGTGCCTGCCCAGGCGCCCCGGCCCTGCTGGTGTTTGGAGAGAGGGCGGGTCCCCTGCCCCCCGCCCCGCACAACCCCCACGTATCAAAGGGCGGCTGAGACGTGGTGAGACCTCGGGGCGCCCTGGGGGGGGCGGGGAGCCTGGGTCCGGAGCAGGGGAGGGGCAGAGGCGCGGGTGCTAGCTGACCCACAGGAAACGAGCGCTGCTGACCTAGTTTGGGACACCGGAAGTGGGTGCTGAGGAGAGGGGGAGACCAGCAGGCTGTCCTGGCTTCCGGGCCAGGTGGAGGGCGTTCTTGAAGTGACCCCCGCCTGAACGCCTTGCAGACCCCTAGCTGCAGCTGAGAGTGGGAGTGAGTCAGCGCAGCGATTCCCCCTTCCCCCAGCTTAGTCCTGGAGGAGGGAGGCAGTTCATCGGGGGCTGGGGGAGCCAGACTGAGAGGGGAGGGGTTAAGCCAGGATGGGGACTGTCTGTTCCCCAGGGTATATGTGTGGGGGGGGTGAGGCCTGGAGGATTATGGGGTTGCCTTCTGCCCCCCACCACGCACACCAACTGGTTTGGTCACCCCTGTACCTGCCTGGCACTGCTGGCCGAGCTGGCAGGGAGTGGGCATCAGGTTGGGAGGGGAGAGTGGGCACAAGGGGTGTTGTGCAGGGCTGGAGAGGGGCATATTTGTGACAGAGTTACTGCTCCTCAGCAGTGGTGACTGGGGAGAAGGACAGGGGGCTCCCCCTGGAGCAGCTGATGAAACAAGGAGAAATCTCTGTCAGTGCCTCCGGTCTGTGGCCCCCGGGCCCCCAGCTCCCCCGCTCCCCCCGCTCCCCCAGCTCCCCAGCGAGCCTCCGTTACATGCTTGCTGCAGGCACGATGCAGCCTGCTGGAACCCCCAGACACTGTCCCCTCCCTTGGGTACCACACCCCCCAGCCTTAGCACAGGGGTCAGATAGGGGTCACTGTCACCCAAAAGGGGCTCTGGGGAAGGAAGAAGGCAGTGCCCACCAGGTTCAGGTGTCAGGGACAGAGGCCTGCTCTACTAGGGCACTCTCATCACTACGCAGCTCTGGCTGATATGGACCCCAGTGTCTGGGAGACAGGTGAAGCTTCCCCCTTCCCCGTGGTGCCCCCTGGCACCCAGGGCCCCCAGCTCCTCCTTGGCCTAGTGCCCGCCCCGGGAGGGCGCGGCGGGCAGCGGGGGCTGGGCTAACAATGCACCATCGGGCCCTTTGTGTGCTTGCACTTGGCACCCTGGGGAAGGGTGGGGGAGGGGGCCCAGCGGGCATGGGGGGCGGAGCGCCTCTGGGGTGGGGACAGTGAAGGCTGGGGGAGAGAAGCAGAGAATGAAAGCAGGTGGGGAGGAAAGGGAAGTAGGTCAGATAGGGTGCTGGCCCCCCATTCCAAGCCAAGACTGAGAGAACCAGCCCCTGATCCTCTGGCCTCCCAGATGGCACCACGCTGCCTGAGGCACTGCCTAGGACCGGTCATTTGGGGTCAGAAGTCACTGCCCAGGGGACTGCTCACATGGAGGAAGCCTGGCCTGGTACTGCCCCCTTCTTGGTGGCTGAGAGACCCAGTTCTGGTCCAAGGCCAAGGCCCTAAGATGGGTAGTAAATGGGCTCCAGGCAGGGCACTGCCCTCTGATAGGAGCCTCTGGACCTGCTTCGGGGCTTCTTGCCCCCGGCCTGCTTGGTTCCATGACCTTCTGAGAGTTAAGACTGCCCTACCACCAGGCCTTGGGGCCTATGGCTGTTTTGGCCTAGGGCTGAAGAGGAGAGTGGGGATAGGAAGGTGGGGACAGGAGACGGATAGGACCCTGGCATGGGGTGTGCCCGCTCTAGCCTGTTCCCCCCTCCTTCTGCTGAGTAAACTCGTGAGTAAACTTGACGTTTTGCCCGGACAGTTTGAAGTTGCCTTGCTGCCCCCCCACCCCCAGTCCTGCCAACACACAAGCGGCCAAACGCCAAGGCGGGCCTGGGGGACTGGGGGGAAGGGGTTAGAGCTACTGTTGTCCACTTTCAAGGGCTTTGGAGGGGCAAGGAAGCCCCCCCCCCCCCGCCCCAGCAACACTCCGGTCTTGGCAAGAGTCTTAGCTGGGGCCTGTAAAAATCTGTCTCAGAGCCTTGGGGAGCCCAGGGAGAGTGGCCTCGAAACAGAGCCTCTG